TATACAGGCTAATCACGTATTCACATAATATGTCCAATGTTTTGACCCAAATATACCGGTTTTTGATAACGGTTATCGGTGACTTTTCTGCCAAATCACTATCTGAGACCCTGAAAAACCGAATATTGGTAGCTTTACCTGCCAGATATAGAAGTTTCCCAACACAAGTAGGCCCTTAAGGTTTCATTAACGAAACTTAAGCTTAGCTTCAATATTTTGTACTAGGTACCTATCATAAATCACAGAAGAAAGCCGAGACCTTTCTTATATGTAGTTTTAAACTTGACAATACTTGCTTATAAATACTTAATATGGGCCTTAATTAGGTACGGTTTGTCACAACTAAACCTTTGAGATGATTATAACTGTATTAAATTATTGAACTAACATTAAATACCTAATTAGATGAGTAATAACCGCAAACCGCACACTTTGATACAATTATATGATAGGTATACGCATTAAAATAACGTTAAAATTAGGCCGAGTTATTATAAACAGACAGCTGATTAAATTGTTATTGGAACTGTATTTAAAATTATAGCAAATATTAATTGTTTTTGATAACGAAAAAGAAGTAAATTTTAACCTTGCCCTTTGGACATCTTTTCCAAAATAAAATGATACACAAAGTGATTTTATTCTGTGTGTTATTCACCTAAGAATCAAACTCAGAAATCCAATCTCTGTGGGAAATCTCGAAATCTAGAGAGAGTGGACTTAACAAGTCAAACAAACAAAAAAATCTTCTAACATTACTTTGATTGACGTCAATCAAGAATAATCATTAATCCCAATCAAATAACAAACAAAATCAATTAAATGAGAAATAACTATAATCCAGTTTAACCTGTGTAACGTTAATTCATTCACAATAATCTATTATCAAACCAACGTTTATGCAATAACCAATGTAATCGAACAAGCTTTTTTAATTTCTGTTTCTGAGAAAAGATTATTGTTTTGGGTAATTATGATTATCAGTTCTATTGTAAAAGTAATATTTAATTGTAGTCGAAGTATCGGTACTTAATCGGTACAGTCTTACTTCAAAATATTTTTCTAATTTAGCACGTTAAGCTGGCGTCTTTAAGGTAGCGTCGCTTTGTACTTGTGCTTTGTAAGGTCTTTTACAGATCATATTATGAACTTTGATCATGCTAAAAAGTGATTTTTTTTTCATTCTTTCTTCCTAACCTATACTAAGACACAGTCAACAGTAAGTACATCAGACTAAATTTTAGTAGGTTACAACTAAAGATGCCAATGCTTACGTTGATGTTCTTAAAGTAGTTACCTAGTTACCTTTAGTAAATTGGAGAGGCTCGTGCTCCTTTAGTTGAAAGGTAAACTCAATAAATTAACTGCTAACCACATTTTCCTTTTATGCACATTGTTTCAAAGCACACCAATTTGAAATCTAAGGCGCATTTTTACTACGATTAGTACTTATCTCGATATCTTGACGACTCTACTATTGATTAACTTGAGAGTAGTTAGGGTTTTGTTGAGAGTCCTGAAAAAGATTTATCGTTGATTTAGTACTTACTATTGGATTTGTCTTGACATTTATTAACGAATGGAAAGCTCAATTAAGTATTCTGAAATGTTCAAAACATCTATGTTTAGTCCTACTTTAGCCACAATTTTATTATAAGCATCTCTACATCTCTGTTTACAATCATCATCATCATGACTCGGGTAATAATTATATACTAATTAGGTCTACTTACACTAAATTAACGTTACCGTTATAACGATAAATGTCAAAAATCACCCCATGACATTATCAAAAATAAATAAAGCACCGTTATGACTGTTCTTTCCTTTTTGTCATACCGCAATTTAACAGGAATAGATAAAAGAGTCGTTAGATGGCCAATATTAACGGTTCTTTATCGGTAATGAATTTGTGTAAATGTCGGCATGTTCAAAAACATACGTTAAACAAGCGGAGATAGTTAGGCATTAGCTTAATTTGAAGGTAAGCAGTAGATAACTTAGAAATTTTAAACCACCGCGCCGCAGCAGTTGTTGTTTTATAAATCGCTCTGCGAGTATTCCAAGATTTCTTATTTTTTCTTGCCGCACCAAGTAGCAAGCAATCTATAGTAGAATATTGGATGTGACAGAACTCATCATTGAAAAAGAGATTTATAAATAAAAAAATCATTTATTTTCTTGTGGCTGAAAAACTGTGACTGCCTAAAATGCACTTCATGGGGTAGTTGCCATTGAAATATGTACTTACTTTTGAGGACTCTCAGACTGTATTCTCCCATACATTTCGTACAGCAGAAGGAGCCTGCTATGGGATGGTTGACACCACCAATTGACTTTATGTGAGCTTTTATAACACAAACGTCAACACTTTGATAAACACAAATGACAAAGATTCATCTATAAATAGTAACATTTTTGGTCTAATAAAGCTGTGCCTTAGATTCGAGCTTTTTGGCTCTTAAAAAAGTTGTGTCTCGAAATTTTTTTTCTTTTATTTTTTCTTTTTTAAAAACAAAAAATTCATTACTGGATTATGCTGTCTGCTACCGATGTGTCAAAGCCCTATTAGTACAGATTAGTACCGGGCTGTTTTGCCCATTACCTAGCTTAACGCAACTTGCGTTAATCGCTTGGTAATATTAAAAAACATTAAACTGGCGCCGCGTCTAATCACGCGTAGTTACGCGTGTCGGCAAACGTCGGCTTTGTGACTAACTGGTCGGTTAACTATCGGTTTTTACTTTTTTAACTTGTCGCGACGATGGTATGCCAGTTTAATTTAATTTGTTAATCAAGTTTGCAATAGCTAAAAAAAGTGCAACGGGTTTAGGTAATGTGTCTGATTGTCTCTATAGCTCAGTGGTTAGAGCAGTCGCCCGGCAATCGAAAGGTCGTCGGTTCGATTCCCACCGGAAACCAAATATTTTTTCAGGTTTTATAAAATTAGATTGAGATGCATCTTTTAAGTGCAAGAATCTTAAGGTAACTATAAAAAAGTTCCTTTAGATACTCGTACGATCACTAGTTACTATAAGTCGAACAAATGTGACTATTATGCATGTTGACACAACCAATCAATTGACGAATCAATCAATTAAACGATGTGAAACGAGAGTAACATGCGTTTCATAGGACGTTTTTCAAAACACTTGCAAAAGTAAACACTAGTAAGCATGAAGGCGTACTAAATGGAATAGTTTAGACCCTTTGATTATAAGGGCATGTAACTTTTTATGACATATAAAAGAGAGTTAATTATCTCAACCAAAATAAGGATTGGCGCAAGTTTTACAAATACAAATTAAAGCTCATTATAGAGTTGACTTCAATGAGGTTGAAGCGCGCAAACTTCTACATTTTCTGAAAGAATTTATGTTGGCGCGATTCTATCTTCGTCCATAACGAACCCATTTTAACAGATATCTTAAACTCTTTTTAATATTAGTAGGTACTTAATAAGGAAAATAATAAAAATAAACAATTATTTACAATACAATTAGAAACACTTCTAAGCTACCGACAAAAGAGACTGCTTATCCACTTATTTATTCGAAGAATCGATCGGACTTTAAACAAACTTTGTTTACATTACCGGTCAGTACATGTAAAGGAGATGTAAATATTTACACTCCAATTAAACGTGCCCTCTTTTTAATATACAATTAGTGACGACTGACGAATAAAACAATTCGGTGTGATGGAATATTCCATACTTTATTTTGTTGTATCCTAAAGTATAAATTAATTTAATTAAAACTGATTAATTTTAGATAGCCATGTACTGGCGATGAAAAACAAGCTAATCAATATGACATATTTTAATTAAAAGAATACACTCAATTCTAATCTTACAAAGAAATACTCACACTTGGTACTTACTTAAATATTTATAGCAACATTAAAGTATTAAAAAAGTATTTCAGATTACTGAATTTCGGCAACCATTTACAGCTGAAAACTATGAAAATATTTAATACAATGTACTGTGTACGAGTATGTAGAGTCACTGTAGTGTCTGACAATAATCAGTATTGTCACAAACTTGCTGAAAGAACTTTAAAGTGAACTTTATGTAACATTTCATTTATAAATGTGGCAAATACGTATTTAAATTACTAGAATATATGTACTATGCACTTTAAACTTTTGTTTTAATCCTTTTGCTAAGAAGCTTACAATATTCTAAGGTAAATTTAAAAAAAAGTCCTAAATTCCTCAAAGGATAAAAAGATTAAAATGGGTTAAAAAATACATCATTGTATCAAATGAAATCACCATTTAGGTAAATCAACCAAACCGCGCACCAGCAACACATTTATGACGTACGTTATTGTAAACAACATAAACTTTATTGGTCGGAACACAACTGAAAAATAAAAAAGTACGTTCCTTTTTTAAACGCGACGCCGCGATTGGCTGATCGCTCACATAAAAAGCTCGACGCCCCCTCATAGCGCCTCCCTTCTCGCTAACTTTTTTAACGGCGACATTCGAAAAAAGAACGACCGAGCGATTCATTTGTCTACTTCAAAACAACATTTTGATTAAAAAAATTCCAATATAAACAAAAGCTCCTTTACTTTATTCTTTAATTAAATCTTATTTACAACAGATGCTCAAGAAATTAAGTGAGCTAAGCTACTTAATAGCAAACACAAACATAAATATCGCATTAGCGCTATGGCACAATAGAACAACATTCTCATTTCCCTACTTAACCGCATTTATTTTTATTGTCTCGTAATAACCGACAGCTAACGCCTATGGTTTATTACAACTACTACCCCGGTTATTTTTTTGTTATTAATATAGCATAAACAATAACTTAATAACGGAATCCCCACCCCCTGGTAGCGCGCGGCGATTGGTTAGCGGTGTGGGGGCGCGAGAGGGATGAACGTATGCGCGCCGCAGTGCGTCTCGCTCTCGCCAGAAAACTGGTCGCTTTCGAATGTGGAATACATTTATCGATGTTTGGGGCATAAAAATTGACAGATTTTTTTTCAGTTCATTGTGAGGCGCCGGAGCGGTCACACCGTTTTCGGCTCGCGCTCTGAAGGGTTGTGCCCAAAAAACGTTCAGCTGAATCTGTGTATTTTGGAAGTGTAAAGAATCGTGTGAAGTTGTTTTGATGCAAACATTTGTGTTGTGCTTGGAAAGTTTCGTGCGAATTATTTAAGGGGAAGGTGAGTGTGCTTAGACTATTTTAGGTATTTTTATCTTAAATTGTAATTTGTTTCCTGGCTGATAGATTGAACTTTTTTAAAGGGTGTCGATTGATTTTTATTCATATAAGTGACAAAATTTTCTACAAATTATATTGAAACACTGTCTGCCTGCCAACTATTTAAGATTTTTTATACCAGATTTCAATAAAATGAATAAAATCAAAGAAATTTTTAGGTTGATTTATTAAGTTTCAACGATAGTTTTAAACTTTTAAGGTACGCTTGCGTTTGCATCTTAAATTAAGCTTTTATTTTAGGTTTGAAATACATTACTTGAACTTATATTTATACATTTACATAATAAATCTATTTACAAAATTATCTTGAAAGCAATACAGTAGTTTTCTTAAGGCAACATAGTTGTTTTTGGATGTTTTATAACTTGATTAATATTAGTTTTCCTCTTTTTATTGTAGTAGGGTATGCTATGACGTAGGCCAATTAAAGTATTTAAATCAAAGCGCTAACTTTTAACTGTCTGGGAGATTAGCATTTTCCTCTACACGACCTTCTGGAACAATAACAAATTGGCTTAACGCAAATTTTTTGAATTAATTAGGAATATTAACATACTTTCGTATTAGTCCCGTAATATGCTCATACCTAATTAGTGAGCGGCATAATTTGGACTTCAAAGGAAAATGACGGCACAATTAGTACATCAAAGCATAAAGATTACCTAACGACGACATTAATGCATACGAGGCTACCTACGTTACAACATTGTCCACATTTTTTACTTCATCTGCGAAGTCAGCGAATATTTTATTCGTGACAGTCAGTTGTTTGCACAAATTATGTGCAGTTAAAATGTTCTTATTTTAAAATCAAAGTCGTTTGTCTCCAGGTATGTTAACTTGCGCCTCCCCCGCCGGCATGACGCCCGCGCCCCACTCCTCGCACCCCCAGGCCTGGGGCCCGTTGATACAACCATCAGCCGTGGTAAGCATATTAACCTGACTTCCAAATAATTCTCCTCTTCCTACATATTCGAGAATCTAACAGCCCCCTTTCTTCTAGAAATCCGAACCAATGGACGACGCGAGTTTCGTGAAAGATCAAGCCAGCGGCTTCTACTCCGAGGGCTTCCACAGCGCGTCCCCGTCCTCCTCCAGCAAGGACTCCAACGGACACTCGCCCCGCAGCGTCGGCAGCTCCGGCGACCCGTCCCCGTACTACGACGCCATGCCTCTCAAAGCCAAGGCCAACCTAGGCATGCACCTCGACACCTACCGCGGAGGTATGCCCTACAGCCTCCTCACGCCCCCCGGCTTCGAGCCCCGCGCCAACGAAGGCCGAGTCCCCTCGCCCGGCTACGAAACGTCTTATTCCCCGAGAACGTTGGCGCCCCCCGCTCACGTGTCGACCCCATTAGCGCGTGCCGACGCCACGCCGCCCAAATCTCCCCCTAGGACCCCGTCCTCGCCCGACAGGGACCACGACAGGCGATCATTCGACCGCTTCCAAGATTCCGGCTACGACGCGCAGGGAAAGCCCGACGCCGACGACGGTCGCGACGGCTCCGGTCTCGACGACGACTTCGATGAGGAACCCGGCCTCCGTGTCCCAGCCGTTAACTCCCACGGCAAAGTCAAAACGTTCAAATGCAAACAATGCGAGTTCGTCGCCGTCACCAAACTCAGCTTCTGGGAACACAGCAAGGAGCATATCAAACCCGAGAAAATGCTTTGCTGCAGAAAGTGCCCGTTCGTCACCGAGTATAAACATCATCTTGAGTACCACATGAGAAACCACCTAGGCTCCAAGCCATTTCAATGCAGTCAGTGCTCGTACTCCTGCGTCAACAAATCAATGCTCAACTCGCACCTCAAGTCCCACTCGAACGTTTATCAATACCGTTGCGCAGACTGCAATTACGCGACCAAGTATTGCCACTCTTTGAAACTGCACCTGCGCAAATACCAACATAATCCGGCCATGGTACTAAATTTAGACGGGACGCCTAACCCGTTGCCGATAATTGACGTGTACGGCACTCGCCGTGGGCCCAAACAAAAACCGATGTCAAAAATGTTTGAACAACAAGTAATGAACAACAATCAGCCACCGCCGCCGCCGCCGCCGACGCACCCGCTATTTGGCAACCATTTCCCGGTAAACCTACCGAACTTGCCATACTTGCCGCCTCTGCTACCTCACTCTTTTCTCTTCCCACCGAACAACAGTTACGAGTCTCGGACTTCTCCTAAGCATTCTGAGACTGTACCAGAAAAACCACAAAACATAACCCCACCGCCTTCTATTTTGCATCAGCGTTTGTCGTACGGAGAGCGCATGGAAACTAATTCGTCGCCTCCAGCTAAGTCCCCAGTAAGCTTACCCCGCACGCCACCTGCAAGATGTGTCACACCTGTTCAAACTAACGACGCCCTCGACCTGACAAACGCAAAGACGAGCGAAGCTGGATCGCCTCCACCTAATTCAGATAAATCTATGCCAGTGACACCCACCACTAGCCTCAAACACCGAAGAAAAGGGCCCGCTTTTAAACTTCAGCCCGCTGCGTTGCGTCTACAACATGAAGATGACAAACCGCAAAAAATAGACGTGTCCGAGTCCGAATCAGAGGAAGAAACGCCGTCGACGACCGCACAGAACACTTATACGTGTCAATACTGTGACATCACCTTTGGGGACTTGACCATGCATACGATTCACATGGGTTTCCATGGTTACAACGACCCCTTCATGTGTAATAAGTGCGGGGAGCGCAGCGCGGACCGCGTCGCTTTCTTCATCCACTTAGGTCGCGCTCAGCACGCTTAGCGCCCAAAACCTTTAGATTCGAAACCTAATATACCTAGTCACGCTCGCTTGTATGTACTTTAGTATGTAATGTAATTAAAAGTTCAAAAGGTAGCGGTAGAATTTGTCAGTTCTAAACATTGTAGGCCAAAGAATATTCAGTCTTGTCAAATTTTCCTTTTTTTGCATTTGACGATAATGTTGTAAATATTGTTAGATTTCAAATAGATTTAGTTTAGCGTATAGATATGTTACCCCTGTGTTATAGTTCTAGGCGTTAGAAACGAGTGACCAATGTGTAAACAAGACTGTATCTTTTGATTAAGTACAAAAAGTAAACGAAAGCAAAGTTTATGATTCCTCTTTTCTGTGCGAGTTCGATCGGGTTCGAATCGAGATGGTTATAAATCGAATAACTAAATCGATTTGGACTCGATCGTTTTCAATGTGTTATTGTTGATAGAATTGTATAATTTCAAAGTACGGTGAAGTTACCTATTAGCTTTAGTTGTATATGGGTGCCGAGATCCTAGTGTAGATTGTAACTTAGCGTAACTAATTTAAGTGAAACAGAGTGTATTTATAATGGAAAAGATTTATATTATTTATTTATCCTTATACTGCGTGTAATTAATTTGTGGGCATGGATTTTGCTGAAATGTTTCCTGCGTTATTTTTTTTCTGTTATCAGAGTGCTGTTTTGATTTGTCTAATTTAAAAACTTTGGTTTTTCTTATCGAGTACCTAATTAAAATCACGGACCGTATTTACGAGCAATTTACCTCTGAATTTTAAAAATAACTTCATAGTATGTAAGTACACAATATGCCTACAATCTTAATGGTTCATGTTAATTTAAATACAGATTTTTTAAATAATAAAATAAAGAAAAACCACTTTAAATTACTCGAATTTAAACAACACTCATGTAGGAGACTTTCTATTTTTATGTCAACAATATGTCAAAATGTGTCATAATTTTGGCGTAACTTTATTTATGAGAACGTTATTACTTTGTGTAATATTAATGACGATTGATATTTAATCATGTACCTTAATTAAGTTATAAAATGTAATTTAAAATGAAAAATGTTTGTGTGCTGGATACATTAAAATAAATTCAAAGGTATATCATATTTTTCTGTTTTCTTTCAACTTAACTCCATTACATTTACAAAAAAATCTGACATACGAGAATTAGGTCGTTAATAGGTTATTACAATTTTTATAAATAGGCATTTTTATTGAATTCATGTTAATTATCTAGCGCTTTGTTTTTCTATCGTTAAGTCCATGTTCACTGATACTGAAAAAACTGATAAAATTTTACTTTTAAAAAGAATCAAGCAAAAAAGAATTTCATAAGTTCAAAGTTGAAAAAACCATGAAATAAAAGACCACGTGGACACCGTTTCATGGCCTTGTTTATAACATAATGCCAACAAAATAACATTAATATTACAATAAACATCCATTACTTTTTCAATTTCACTTTATGACCATAGAGGATTATGCTTCTGAAGTTGCCGTTGAAAAAGATTGTAAGACAAAGAAATGAAAGAAACCGGTATAAAAGAACTCTGAACTAGGACGCGCCAAGGTAAAACTGAAACTACAATAGACAACGAGTTGCGAAAACCATAACTTTTTTATTCAAAACAGCTCGTAGACAAAGGAGCATGCCGAAGACGGTAGCTAGAGTCGGGCGTTCCAAAAATAACACCTTTTGTTTCATGCCAATTGTTATTTATGAAATGGTTATTTTTTTAACGGACAATACGATTTTTATGTCACCGTTACGGGTAAAAATTCCATATGAATATTCATATGTTAAGTGCCGTTCGAATTTGAAGCGGAATACATTTTTACATTAGAGTTGGTACATTTTTTACTTCGTGTCAGAAATAAGTGTTTAGAAAAACACGAAATGGTAATCGCTGTTACGACAATGTTTATGATTTTTGACGATATTGTTAAAGAAGTAACAACTTCATTATTCTGTAGAGTTGTTTTTCTTTTCCATTAACTTAAAATTCAGTTTTTTGTTTCATAAAATAGTACGAGATTTCCCTCTTGCTGGTGGTTTGCGTAACGGTGGAGGTTTAAATCCTACGAGGGACAAAATATCAGTGTGATGAACATGAGCCTAACACTAAAGTTCATACGATGGATAAGTTAGTATCCGATACCAATAGTATTAGACGACGGCTCATCAATTGTAATACTTAGGTGCTACCTATTTTTCAACAAATAAATTCTATCCTGATGTAGATAAGTATTTTAGCTTTGTTGCACGCTTTAGCTTTCGAGCAAGGAAATTGGTGTGATACTTAATAGTTGGGACAATATATTATTACACGTTATTTTGTGTAGGTAAAGTTAAAGCATTAGAAAACCCCAAGAATTTTTATTTCCGATTTCATTTCTACGTTTATACAGCCTACTATCATTACCAACACTGCATACCAATGTCCATACCTGGCAATTTTTTTGAGAATATGTCAAAAATCCCATTTCCTCGAAGTATCGACACTTGATGTACTTTTTCCGCATTTTTGCCCAGTGTGCAGTCTCGGAATACAGGCGACGTCACACCAAGATAATTGGGGCATCTTATGAAGATGTATTAAGTGCTGTTTTGCAATAAAAGTATTGTGTCGACTGTACTTACCACATAAAGTGCCTATCATTGAGCCACTGCCCGATTGTCGCCTGCCTGACCCAAATCCAGCGGATGTGAGATGAATGGCTTAGCCAAAAAACTTATAAAAAGAATTCGGTTTAACTCTGTACCAAGAGGTATGGCCCCGAACAGAGGCTCGGTAGAGTCGAACATACAGTATTTTTGTTTGAGAGTTTAAAGAGATGTTGCAGTTGGTACGCACTATTTGTTAAATCTAAGGATAATTCATATTAAAAGCTGTATTTTATTCGTTCTCTCCTTTGACTGAAATTTATTCTGAGATAAGTGAGAGTCGCGGGTAACACTTGGATGGGAACCAGTCGTTGTGGAAATCCTTGAGGGAGGCCTTTTTCCAGCAGGGACTATTCCCACCTCTCGTTCCCACCACTGCAACTCCTGTGTAGCCAGGATCTACAGCTTGACCGCCACAAAAACCCAACCAATGAAGGTCAAGTTTGTCCCGGGGGGAAAGTTAAACTGTCATTGGACCCGCAACGAAATTAATCAGAAGAACATAGGAGGAGTTCGAAATTAAGGTTCGACTTCCCTCCATTGCAAAGCGGATGACAGGTGACAAACAAAGGTTTAAAACCTTTAAGAAAAAGATTATGCACCACGGACAATAAATTAAATTAAGGGGGCCTATCTTATGAGCAATTAGCAACTACCTGCCAATAATATTTTTCACAAAATCGCTTAAAAGCACGGAAATTTTTCCTTGTCGTGACAAGATCGGTGTAATAAATTGCGGAAACAGATGTATGTTGTATTGAATTAAGCATTATATCACGTTCATGTTTCCAAAGATCACACTCCCACAAGATATGATGGGCAGANAAAAAAAATTTAACCTCTAAGCTAGTAATTCCTTAGTAAAATTGTTAAAGTCTTTACCTGTTTGAGTAACATTTTCACCCGTCTTGACAAAATCCGCCATGACTGTTTTTTTTAAGTGTTTCCTATTGTAAATTTTAAATCTACAATACGTTGATCTCGGAGCCATCTACTTAGTAAATTCAAATCTAACTAGAGTGATTCAAAGTCAGCACCTGACAATATTATTCTTAAAGCGGGCAATCACTACCAGTGGGCAATCACTCTCTGGTTTACCCTATCTCTAATAGTATTAGACTACGGCTCATCAGTTGTAACTTGTAATACTTAGGTGCTACCTATTTTTCAACAAATAAATTCGATCCTGATGTAGATATTGTCAGGATAAATGGGAGCCTATTGACACAGTGGCCCGCTATTTTCTATATTCGTTTTGTGTTGTTATTGTTTATAATTTGTGCTTACTGTGTTCAATAAATTCTATTTCTTTCTTTCTTATATTGTAGCTTTGTAGCTTTGCACGCTTTAGCTTTGGAGCAAGGAAAGGACAATATATTATTGTAGGTATTGCACGTTATTTTGTGTAAGTTAAAGCATTAGAAAACTTTGAGAATCTTTATTTCCGATTTCAATTCTACATTTATACAGCCTACTATCATTACAACACTGCATTCCAATGGCCATACCTGGCAATTTTTTTGAGAATATGTCAAAAATTCCATTTCCCCGAAGTATCGACACTTGATGTACTTTTTCCGCATTTTTGCCCAGTGTGCAGTCTCGGAGTACAGACGACGGCACACCAAGATAATTGGGGCTTCTTATGAAGATGTATTAAGGGCTGTTTTGCAATAAAAGTATTGTTGTAACGTTGCCGTTTGCTGTTTTTTCACAAATTAATATTTCTTCTCAATATTCTGATTTTGGATACCACTAGCGACATCTATTGGCGTGATTTCGAATTAATTTGCAATAGATGGCGCTTTTTGCTCAGTTAATTGAAATGTACTTTGATGAAACATTTCCTAGTGTTTTTATATTGATTATTCTATTTTTCAAATAGAATATTTTCAGTGTTCTGGAAATTGTTTACATCATGGTTTTATTAGTACAGTATTTACTTTTTCAAACGGCGAAACGAAACGTATCGCGATGTCTATGACAGAGCGGCTGTCAGTGGAGCTGTCAAATCACTTAGGAATTTGTCGATCGTGCGCAACCGCAATTTGATTATTTTCGGGAATGTAATTCCTTTTATTTCAAATCGGGTGGTGCAAAATGCATCCACGATAATTTCTTGATGAATAAATAAAAATAACACACATGAGNATTGGCACTATTACAGTAGTTATTATAATATCGTAATTGTTAACTATATAGGAGCATACGAGATAAAAATAAATTGTGTCAATTGAGAGGGAGCTGTTTTATTTACATTTTCTAATTACAACACAAGGAACGGTAACTTATATAAATTTCTGCAAGCCGGACAACCTCTTTTTTCACGTGCAGACAATTCACCATCTTTTCAGTCTGCACCGGTGGCGGTTCAATTCCAGTCACCAAGCCGCCACGAAAAAATCCTTTCTTGCATTGTGTCGACTGTGCTTACCACATAAAGTGCCTATCATTGAGCCACTGCCCGATTGTCGCCTGCCTGACCCAAATCCAGCGGATGTGAGATGAATGGCTTAGCCAAAAAACTTATAAAAAGAATTCGGTTTAACTCTGTACCAAGAGGTATGGCCCCGAACAGAGGCTTGGTAGAGTCGACGTACAGTTTATTTTTTACTAGATCTTATTGATCTAGTAAGAGA